CATTCTTAAAAAGTACTTTAAACTGTATAAATACAATTGAAAGCGATTGACCAATCAGAAGAAAGTTATCCTATATGTACGTACGTACACCAAGATCGGTCACGATCAATTTGACCGAGCAATCGGTCATACTATGACCGATCTCCATCTCTACTTCTACGTATTAAATATTAACTTCAGTTTGAGATAATTGGTTGACATGTTTAAATTAAGACCGACTGTGATTGGGGTGCATCATGCAAGCCTATTTACAAACATAGTGCAGGTCACAGTGAAAATCATTAACGTTAATTAAATTTTTTATAGATCAACGATAATGTAATACGTAGTAAAATAATAGTAAAAACATATAAAGTTCAAATTGTAATAATTCTTGAACCAGCAAGTTCACACAAATAAAATTACACTTGTCTGGTTCATTTTAGCATGCTCTTTAAAGTAGCAACGCCTTTATTTATTTTATTTTTATTGTTTAGAGCATAACGGGTGTCTCAATTTTCATGCAAAATTGTCGTCTTTGATGTTTTTTTAAAAAATATCAAAAACGTAATTTTGAATTTTGTCTAATTGTAAATTGTTCAATGGTGATCGACAAAAAATTCAAAAAGTTACGTATTTGATTTTTTGTTAAAAAAACATCAAAGACGACAATATTACATAGGGATTGGGACACCCACTATGCTCTAAACAATAATTGAATTTGCATGATTTTATTATTATTTTACTATTACACTATCGTTAATCTATAAAAAAATTCAATTAATGATTTTCACTATACACGACTGTGATGTAGCACAGGAGGGTCATTATCATGAGGATCATATGATCATATAGGTTACCTGATCTAATTATTTGATATAAAGTCATAGGTAATAAATTTACATGGTTATGAGACCATTGGTCTAGCGAGTCAAATGATAAGTATAAATAAGCCACAAATTTGAAAATAAAAGTTTGTGCTTTCTTTGCTGCTTTTCATTGTTGACCCATATTTCTGGTTAATCGAAAAGTTCTTTTCCACCCAGAAAAACGGGTGTAAATGGAAAATCAGAGCAACCAGCGAACAATCTTGTGTTCTTTGGCATATTGATACTATTGAACGCTGCGAAACTACAATGAAACTAGTTAGTTGCCAGCTGTGAACGCCCCACACTGTTCCAAAAAGTTTAATGAACAGCTATGTACGCCCCCACACTGTTCTATGAAAAGGACTAACAGCTGTGTGTGCCCTACAATGTCCTATGAAAAGGACAAACAGCTGTGTATACCCCACAATGTGCTGTACATCCGACACTGTGCTGAGTAAATGACTAGTAAAAATAGATCGAGAAAAGCTGGAAGTGTATTAAAGTAACCAGCATATTGGCAACTAGGCAGTAGGCAGCAGCATTATTCACATAATTTTCTTCATAATGTATCTTTGAACTAATTAAATTGAAAATTTTGAGTTTTTTAAAAAACAAAAATAAAATAAATAAATAAATAAAAGGTATTGATATAATTGAAATGAAATCTGAGCGAAATAATTGTAGAAGTCGATTCATCCATTATAGTAATAAGACAAGTTCAAAAAGATAATGATAAAATTATTATTGGATTGCTGTAATAAATTTTCGCTTTTATAATTCTGAAATTAATTACTCATATTACTAGACAATTTAAAGGAAAATCGAGAACTTTGGGTCCCGTGACTGATACGTAACCAAATTATATTGTTAACTGATGTTAACGTTAGACTACGTATATACATACATAATTGTATAGCAAACCAACGGGACAAAATAGAATTATGAATTAAACGACAATACCTAATAGTAAAGCTTTAAAAAATGCTACCATATCATTCAGTATTATCTGACAATACATATTTTATTATTATAGCGATTAGCTAATAAACAATCTAAATTTTATTATGCAAATATTTGGTCTAGCACTTGATCAGATCCTGATTTCCTAGTGACATATTGCAATTTTTTGTAATTACTAAACAATATATTTGTAAATTAAATTATTTCAGTACTAAACAACAATAGATATGTAAATTAAATTATTTTCGTATTTAAATTTAATTAATTAAGTTTATAATGCCAGGAATGACTGGACCAGACTGGACCGGACCGATCCATCCCTAGATTTGCGTTCAAATTTCTAAATTTGTAATCTAGTGTAATTTAAAAAGAAAAAAATTTTTGTTTTGATCAAAAAAGATTTCACACCAACACACTCCATTTTTTGTTTAAAAGATTCAGCATGGACTTTCCAAATAAATGCCATAATATGATATTTAATAACTTCAGAAATGATTATAGTTCTTTGTTTTCATGTGCTCTCGTGAACTGAAAATGGTATACAATCGTTATTCCTGTATTCCAATACTATGGAGTGAACCGCCCTTTCCCAACCAAAAGTTTATAGAATATTTGGTGTTCAAGCCAAGTCCTGAAGAGAAAAATGACCTGCCTATTATCATTTTTGAGGAACGCCCCCAGATTCGCCATGAAGGATACGACAGACTTGCTGCTGATGTTCTGGCAACTGATCTTAGTAATAAGTTGGTTGTAATGCTTCTAAGATCTTCCAAAAATCTTAGACACTTAGCTCTTAATGACAATATATGCCATAAATTAATACTTCAAAGGCTTTACGATAGTTCTACGATCAAATTCATGATGCTATATAATATTAATCCCAAAGTTAAAACTCAAGTAATACACATCGTAGAAAAGTTCCTTTACAAGACCACAACTTTGGTTTCTTTGGATCTTTACGATGATGACATTAAATCTGAAGGAGGAAAAGCAATAGCCAGAGCACTCTGCAAAAACACCACGCTGAATTCTTGGTTGTAATAAGCTTGGATCAGAAGCTATAATAAAATTAGCAGATCTCTTTGCCAGAACTCCACGCTAACTTCTTTAGATCTTTGGGAAAATAACCTTGAATTAGAAGGATTAAGAGCATTAGCGAATGCACTTTATGAGAACACTACATTAAAAAATTTGGATCTTAGTTATAATTACTTTGGACCAGAAGGTGGACAAGTGTTAGCAGCTGCACTTTTCGAGAACACTACACTAAAAAGTTTGGATCTTCGTAAGAATGTTCTTGGACCAGAAGGAGGAAGATTATTAGCAAACGCACTTTGCCATAACAGCGGGTTGATTTCTTTAAATATTGCAGGGAATAACATTGGTAAAAGAGGAGGAAAAGCATTTGCAGTTGCACTTTGCGAGAATACTACGCTTAAACATTTGGATATTTTTCGTAATAAACTTGGTCCAAAAGGAGAAAAAGCATTAATAGATGCACTTCGCAAGAACACATTAATTTCTTTGACTTGTAATTATAGCCATATTCATTAAGAAATGCCATTTACATGTTTACTATTATTTACTAAATAAAATCATGCATGCTATAAATTTACTTGATATATTATAATATCTTGGCTATTGTAATAAATAAAATTTTTCTCTTTTATTTTTATTAGTATAGTTTTATTCTTTATTATTATATTATTATTTATGTATATAGTCCTTCTTCGTTTTATTTTCATAGCAGTAACCGACTTTCTCTGTAAATATTTTAATTGAGTATACTAAAATGACAGTTGATAGTGGCTTGGTGGCTTATTCCATGCAAGAGCGTATACGCGCTTACACAAAATTTGTTGATCTCTGCACCATGAGCGTAAACGCTCAAAAAAGAGCGTACACGCTCAAAAAAGAGCGTACACGCTCAAAAAAGAGCGTACACGCTCAAATTAGAGCGTATACGTCCAAAAAAGAGCGTAAACGCTCTAACCAAACAAAATGTATATAAGTACCTCGCAAATCAATAAAGAGCGACATCTCGTCCACTTTCACTCAATAATAAATAATAAAGACATATACTTATCTGAATTTCCTTTGAGACTCTATCTTTTGAATTCGACTTGTAACTTTAATAACCCTTTCGAGACTCAATTCGACGGACTGAATTGACTTGTAACTTCGTTTGGCTTATTAAGACTCGAATTCTGATCTACGTGTGGAATTAAATATTGCCATTAACCTTAGTAATTAGAACACGACTGACGTATAGTTACCAGATTTGGTTAATTCATCACGTGAACTTAAAGTTATCACTGATATTACTTGATCATCGTCCGCTTACACATCACCATCCTTAAGATCACCCCTTGATATCACCCTTAACGGCATCACCCATTATTGCATCGCCTATTATCATCACTCCCTGATATTAAAGTGTTACTCTATAGTATCATCTCGCTCTCTTAGTTCTTTAACGCTTATAAAAAACTCATTTCGCTTATCTAAAGTTACCTTTATTATCCGTACACCGTTGGAGTTAGATTGGCAACATTTCTGTCTTATTTTATTAGCTCTCCCATTCAACGGTTACAACAGCTGTAATCGATTTTCCAATTCTAAAAGAATTTTATGGTGCGAAATACGTAAATATAGAAATACTGATTGAATATTTATATGATTAATCGACTATATGAGTGCCGCCAAAGAAAAACCTGAATTCGGAAAGTACAGGTTACTATCATCGCGTCGAATCGATTTTAATAATATGTACTTTCTGGATTCAGGTTTTTCCTTGGCGGCACTCATATAGAATCTCTAAAATTCTGGTTCTGGTTCCGGTTACGTTAATTTCACCGAAAATTGCTTCACCGTCAACTTAGCAAACAAGCTTATTTTACCGACAATTAATTCACAGACAAGTTCATTTTGCGGACAATTTGTTTCACCGAGAACTCATTTCCCGATAAAGTAATTCTGGTCATTGTCGTTAGGGTTAGTACAATTTATAAAAAACTTGTCGGCGAAATAAGCTGTTGGTGAAATAAACTGTTGGTGTAATGAACTTGCCTGTGAATTAATTGTATGCTAAATAAGCTTGTCTGTTGTGACGCAACAAAATTTCAAAATTAAACTTTCGCTTGTGTAACATATATACTTTGTAGTATAACCATTATACTTTGATATACTTTTTGCGTGTAACAATTTAATAGTTTATGCGAAGTATAAAGCATACCTTAATTAGTCTTTAAATAGCTTATAGCTTATTTTAGAGGTTATTCATAGATATATATAGAGCGTTATGTATTTTAGTTATTTAGTTTTAGTCTTTGAGTCTGGTAATTAGTTTGGTTAGTGAATTCTAGGACTTTAGGGATTTGGTAGATTTGTATTTGGGTTTTAGTGCGTTGGGAACGTACTAGGTTAGTTAGTTTTGGAAGGATATTTGTTATTGCTAGTGTCTGGGACACAATAAAGGATATTGGTTTAGTACTTTTGGATACTTGGAAAGAGATAATAAATATTTGTTTTCGTCCCTTTAATGTTGACGCCTCTGAGTTAAATCAATAACGATATAACAAAGTCTCTCCCACTGTACGTCACACTGTAAATTAATTGTCGGTGAACTAAGTATGATTTTCGGTGAAATAATTCGTATCCCTAAGATTCTCTCGATATTTTTATCACGAACATCGTGAGGCCACACCTTTTTTGCAAACCGCTAGATTTTAAAGATTTATTATCAATTACGATTTTAGAATCGACTTTTGCCTCTTATTCTGGCCATTTAAACTATAAATGAAAATATGTTGAAATATATAGTATGGCATGTTTTTGGAAAAATTTGAGATTATTTAATACATATTCTTTTAAACTTTTTAAACTCGAAAAATATAAATGCATCTAACAATATTCATCACCCATTTCTACATATGAACTTAAATAATTGTTTAGGGCAGCTCTGATGATCCAAACAAGATGAAGATTAAGAAAATAATTATTATCTTAGAAATAAGCTAGATTAATTAACTGAAATCTGCAGTAAACTGTTTAACCATTAAAATTTGTTCCATTGATTCGGTCGAATATTGTAGGCCATGTATTAAAATTATTTTAATGCGTGCTAGATTAAACATTTAACACAGTTAAACGATTCTAATCTATTCGATAACTCTTATTTAATTTATCATTATAATCAGAAACAAGACAAAATAAATAAATAAATATCTAATAAAATGATAATTATACTGCATTATAAAAGCACAGATCCCAAATATGTTTGTTACAGTCCGAATATATTTTATTATAGATCCAAAATATTTTTTATTATCGATCACAAGTATATTTTATTACATACCGTATTCAATACAGTATAGAAAATTCATCCTATGTATAAAAAAGACAAAAAAAAATCCCAATCATCAGAAAGAAAAAACCACCAAACCCAAATTAATCTAAATTAACCTAACCAAAGCAGTATTAATCTAGATTATTATAACAATATTTTGAAAAAAATTTAAGATAAATAAACAAATGGTTCGCCGTTTATTAAGCTGCTGTCGTTGTTGGCATACATGTGGCCTTTTTCAGATTTTCCTCTTCCTTAAGGTTTTGGTGTTGGGGTGGTTGATTCACACGGCTCAGTCTCTTCCGACTTTTTCGGTTTTTTCTTCTTTGGTTTTTTTGTTGGCTCTGCTTGGAGTCCAGGTGTTGTTTGTAAACCAGTTGGATCTTGATCTTGTACTATACCTTCAAGTTCTTTGTGTCTTGGTGCTCTATATAATTATTTTAATAAACAAATAAAACAAATAAATAAAATATTCAAATATATATTATATGCGCGCACAAAAATTTATTACATACTCATTACAGAGTGCAGATGGTTCACCAAGACCAGGAGTGTTACGTTCAAGTTTTCTAAGTTGTATGCAGCACTTTGAAAGAGCCTTTTTTCTAGCTTTACCTTCTTTACTAGATTCAAGTGCAGCTTCAATTCTATCAGCAAGATCGAGGCATGAATCAGCGGCATTTTGCTGAGCACATGCATCAGCGTTGGCTAAAAGAGAAAATACAGTTGTATTCTTTAAATCACCAGCAGCTCTTTCAAGTTCAATTGCAACACCTTTGGTTTGTGTGTCCATACAATTATAAACAGATTCAGCTTCAGGAGTATGCTCCTGACCGAATCGCCTTCTTTCAATAATTGGCGAGCTATTAACGGTTAATGCGAAAGTCAATACAACCAAAATGAAGATAGATAATTTCATTGACAGCTTCATTATGATTATTGTTTAAAAAGAAAAAAGAGTGGTAAAATAGAGTTGGTATTGAGACTAGCTCAAATATGAAGACAGCAAAAAGAATAAATCAAAAGAAAAGAGCACAGCTCAAGGAATGAACCAAAAGAGAGCACAGCTCAAAGAAGAGTGAAAGAAAGAAAAGATAGTGAGTTGTAGACTGAAGTTGCAAAGAAATGGAGCATATTTATAATTTTTTTTTGAATCTACCTAAAGACCTTTTTAAGGATCTCAAACTTAAACGTTAGAACTAATTATATTGATTTCTCATTTTAATCACCAGTAATTTACGTAAAGGACCACTAGCGAATTCGAAATTTTAGTTTTATCTTCTGCCATAGTTAGGATTAACCATTCAGATTAATATAATGTGTTAGATTTTGTTTGATATTCTCTGTTAAAAGAAGTAATTGTTTGAAAAACAATCAATCGAATGAATGCTGTGATACTCAAAGTTTTTAAATTATTGGAGGTCAAAAATTGGTTTAATACAAAAGAGACATCATTTCCATGGATGATATAGTTTTGATTTCACGAAGCGTTATCTTATATTTGAAACAGAACAGAATTCTAACAATCTTTTTTTTCTATATCTTTAATGAACCGGGTGGTTGCTAATTTATAAGCTATATGAAACTAGCCAAAAAAAGTTCTAGTACTAGTAATTCGTTTTTTATTATACATGCCTACATACGTAATTCTATTAAGTTTCAAATCCTTTAATTAGCGCTAATCTTATTTAGTCATACCTACAGCACTACGTATTACTTTGTTTATATCAGTTAACCATTATATTCAATACCCTACAATTACGTTATTTAGTAATTATTTCACTATATCCTTTTTTCGATTATATTTTTGGACACAATCAAGTACGTATGTACGTACTTTTTTTTAATATTTCTCTACCATTAAATAGATAATAATATGTACAGAGGGACTTCTAGAATCTTATAATTGATTCAGCCAGTATCTTCAGGGAAATTTATCGTACTATCGATAGGAATAGTTAGAGACTAAAGATGGTAAGACGTAAACTGAAAGACAGATTTAAGGGGCTTTCGTATACAAACACACTAATATAATACATTATTATTAAGTGTTGTTCGGTCATAATTTCCTTTGTTTCATGAATAAGTTGTTTCCATATATGCAATATATGGTGTTTTTTTGATAATGATACTTTACTATTTTTGATATCGTATTAAAAATTCAATTGATCTAACACTAATGTCATTTTAGCTATTGTAACAAATAATTTTTCCCCGTGTATCTCACTTCCATACTTGTCTAATTCATTAAACTGTGTCATCATAGAATCAAATCCGAATCCGGAAATACTTATTTGTGCGAGTGATACAAACCCAAAAAAGGAAATTCGACGACTAAAGTTCGTGAAAATAAAAATTTGGGGTTAGAACGTTGAAGTTAGATGCTATAGAACTAAAAGTTTAATTTCTATATGTAAATTTCATTTCCGTCACTTTTAATTAGTGACCCAAGACAGGTTTAAACATCAGTTTCTTGTATTTTCGCTTTTTTCGTTTTTTTTTTCGTGTTTTTCTTTGCTTCGCTCACGTGTCTGGCTGATCCGGGATACAGTAATCACATTTTACGGCTAGTTTCCCTTTTTAGATTTGTATTACTCGCACAAATAAGTGCACGCCTACCTTTATAGTATTAGGCATTAAACGTCATAGGAAGACTTTCGTATGATTGGCTGTTTAAATCAATTTAATTTTACATTATTTATACAGTTTAAAGTACTTTTTAAAAAAAAATAAAACTACGAAGAATAAACAAAAAAAGAAGTATATAGTAAGTTTTATTTGGGTTGTAGGACTCCAGCATTAAAAATAAAATATTTTCTGATTTAGAGAAGTTGGCATAATAGCGACTTCTTAAATATAGATAGAATTAGGTTATTACCATGCTAACTTCTCTAAAACCGGAAATGATTTTGATTATTTCTAATACTGGAGTCCTACAACCCTAATAAAACTTCCTATAAAACTTTCTATATACTTCTTTTTGCTTATTCTTCGTAGTTTGATTCTTTTTAAAAAGTACTTAAACTGTATAAATAATGTAAAATTAAACAATCATACGAAAGCATTCCTATGGGGCGATACTAGGTGGGTCAGATCACATGAGGGTGAAATTCGCTTTTGCATAATAAAAAACATAACTAATCGCGGATTTCACCCTAATGTGATCTACGTAGCGGATTATACTAATTTACCACGCGGGTTTCACCCAGTCTTTTTGTTTTTTTTTTTAATTTATACGGTGACGTTACACTGATATTAAATATGGATAGAAATCATAAACAATATAAAAATAGTAATTCGCGACGTTACAATTTCTCACGATGGCTTCACTTGAAGAACGGCGTACGTACGTACGTACCTTAGTTAAGTTCCTGTGGGACACGGAAATAAAGAAGTTCCAAAGTTGCAAAAGTTAACTGGATACCCTATTAAAACTTTGTATAGATGGGTTGTACAATTCGTTAAACTGGTGATATAAAGAAGGTGAACATCCAGGATGTCCAAGACTTCTTAACCCTGAACAAAGAAAGTGCCTTGACAGAATCGCAAAAAGGACAGTTGCGTCAAGTAAAGCGCTAGCAGAAGCCCTTGACAATACTTACCCCAGTATTAATATCGCTCCAAAAACGGTTAGAGAGAACCTTCAGAACCTTGGTTACCATGTCGCTGTTCCCCTTAAAAAAAAGAAAAAAATCCATGATTCGTCGGGTCTCTTGAGCATGCAAGTATCAAAGAAGGTGGAATACCACTATTTTTTCTGATGAGTCGACCCTTTCAAATGTTCCGAATACGCTCCAGGTTCGGTATAAGGATGGTGAACCAATACAAAGTAGAAAGTCGTCGGCTGAATTTTAATTCGAGTAAACGTAAATATTTCGTAACACATGAAAAAAATAACAGAAATAAATTCATGATCATAGGATAACCACTAGATAATCGACATTACGTGATTGTAATAATTTGCTGCCACACTGTATACATTTTTATTACAGACTAACCCTAAATCCTAAGCTAACTATAAAAAAAATGCATCTCAAAAAATTTTTGAAAATTTCATATTAAAATATTTAAAATTTCCAGCTATAGCTGTAAGTGCGTGACCCATGTCCTGATGAATCCTGGCTATAGCATCATTTTTCTCATTACAACATTCAATTATTTCAGTGGGGTTTCTAATAACAAGTTCTGCACGGCTATCAGATGATATCTATATTATTTTAACCTTTTTGTATAATTTAAACCATCTATCAAATTTATTTGTATTTGCCACCAAATCATTAAAGTATAGAGCTGTCAATGACCATTATGCAAAAGAATCTCAAAATTGTCCTACTCCTCACGAATTGAGAAAATAATTTTGGTGTCATTCGATCCGTCTCATCGAGATGAATTGAATGGTACCAAAATCTTTCGATTTTGTTCATTAGATTACGAGATATTCAAAATAAAGATAAATTATGACGCATTTTTTAACTTGACATACTAATATATCTCACGATTTATCGATTAAAAAATCGCATGATTTTTAGAATGGTCACCAAAATCATGCGATACTACCATTAACCATTAAGGAGGTCTGACTGTATATAATTTGATTGGTTAATTTATCATGGACAATCAATATTAAATTATTATACAGTATAGAGATGGGCAAAGTAATTTTGTAAGTAATAATGACCTATGACTTATCCCTTACTTAATATTAAGTAATAATATGTAACTGACTTTCCCCATTTATAATACAGTAGATAGTGACGGGGCTAAAAATTAATGTGACAATTAAGTTACACCATTTTTAACCCAATAGTCTCATCACTGGCTATAGATATATGTTCAGCATTTTAATCGTATTTGGCACTTCATTTCGCGACAAAAACGCACCACTTGCTAACATCGTCTATGTTGGCTAGGGTACTCGACGTAATGTTGTTCCGTTTGTTCACACGCGCGATGTCGACCACTTGAAATTCTAGAACTTTCAGGTCCTTTAATTAACGTTTCGCACATATCGCACAATGTGCGTACATTTTTTTTAAAAAACAATTCACTACCAATTGTTAATAATTTCTAGGAAAGACTAGTGCTTTCTTGATAATAAATCATTCGTAATTATTAAAAAATTTTTCTTGTAACCAACTTTTAAAATCATAGTTTATATTGTGGAACATTCTGGAGTATTACATAATGACTTTATAGGATTTTCATGGAATGATCTGGAATTGTGATTTCTAAATAAAGTGACAATATCTAGATTAATCCCGAATTAACAGGATACTACAAAATAGTTTATAGTAGTACTACGCCACGCTTGGGAAAATTGATATAAATAGCGAATCCATCGAGCTTTTCAAAAAAATCAAGTTGAAAAATTGAATTATAAAAATCAAAAAACCAAACAAAACCAAACAAAACTTTTAAAACCAAACCAATTTAATAAAACCACATTATCAGCTTAAACAAAAATTACTATTAAAGATGTCTGTATACTGGCCTGATTATCAATTTGGTAACTTTGAAAATTCTGTATCCCGCCTATTTGACGATTTCTTTAAGGACCTTAATGTTGAAAGACAGTCTAAAGGAACTACAACACGAAACGGCCGCACTAGTTGGGCTCCACCTCTCGATGTTCATGAAAATGAAAAAGAATTTGTTGTGAATGCTGAATTACCGGTATGTATATTTACCGCTTGATTATAGTTTTTTTAGAATTTTTACATAATGAATTTAACCAACTCCCTTTATTTAATAGGGAATCACTAAAGAACAAATTAATCTTGATGTTCGTGAAAATTCACTTGTAATTTCTGGAGAAACCAAAAAAGATGAAAAATATAATGAAGGAAATACTTATATTCAAGAACGTCGCTATGGAAGTTTTAATCGTTCCATCACTCTTCCTCGTAATGTTAAAACTAGTGATATCACGGCTAAGTTTGAACATGGTATTCTTGAAATAAAACTTCCAAAGGATGAGAGTAAGATAAATGGAAGGAAAATTGATATTCAATAATCACTAATAAATAGATTACAGTATATAGTTAAATATTCATATATGATTATTTGAATTGTAAATCTTAGTGTATGAGTTGTAATTAACATTGTTATGGTTATGTTTGAATTGTATAGTTAACAAATAAACATATCAAATGTTACAATCGTGAATTTTTTTTGTCCGACCTTTTGTAAGGTTTTTATTATAATAGTTTTACAAAAGCGTTGTAGCCCAAATTATTAATTGATAAGGATAATGTTTGCTATATTTTTACATTTGCTTTAATTTTTATACTAGACAATCATTTAAATATTTTGCTTGTATCGTTTTTAACAATTTGTTGAAACAGAATATTTATAATTTTTAATAATATCAAGATTAGAAAATCTGATATTGTGTAATACAAAGGCATACGAATAGGATGCACAAATCTAAAATAAGTTTTTTGAAATCTAAAAAATTAAAAAAATAAAATATCTGCTTGGCAAAATTAGGGATGTTATAGTCTCAAAAATAACTGTTTAGGACTGGTTCGAGCAATGGTCCTGGTTAAATACAGTCCAAGTTCAAATTTGGTTCTAAAAAACGGACCATAACTAATAAATCTATTTTTTTTTTCAATATCAGCAGCCTTGCCGGTATCTTTATTAGATCAAAGCATATATATATACATATATTTAACTATCTAAGCTATAGATCCGACATTCCCCAGCTATCCTATTGGGCGCCCAGAAATGGTCTGCCACACCTTTTGCCCATACCAGAGGGTTGCATCAAGCTAGCTATACCAAAATGGCTTCATTCTATTTTTAATGAAATTTTAATAACATCAAACTAAGTATTTTTTTTCTTTTTCAAATCCTTTTTTTTATTTTCTTAACTTTCCAAACTTACCTAATATAAATTTTAAATTTCCGTTCACTATGCCCAGGGATCATTATAAAGTTCGTTATCATAAGTTTCGACTGTAATTGGATTTATAAACGAATCTGCATTCATGAACCAAATTAACACAAATAAGTAAATTCAAACGAAGCTATAAAAAATTGTCAAAATACAGCTCACTTTTTTCATAGTAAACTCTTGATATAATGAGAGTCTTGAATTACGGAATTATTAAATCTCAAACGAATATAGTAAAGTATTTTAGTATTCTCTCGATAAAAATTATTGCGACTTCATTATAGCGTGAGTGAGTTGTAATAGCATCTTGTATTTCAATATATAAGACTTTATTTTTTGTTGAAACACTTCATGAATAACAAACGAATAAAAAGAAAAAAATCATAGAGTTAACTTTCTGTAGTGAACTGGCAATTCTTTTAGTAAAAATTTTTTAACAGTTCCATATAGAAGTAATTTACTGTGTTTCTATACCGAACTCTATAATAAATTTGTTGAAAAAGTTTATCATAAAGTGGCTCTTTTAAAAAGGTTCGATATAAAGA